TTCCCGCTCGCGCGCGCCGCCGTATACACGCCCAGTTACATCCAAGAAGCTCCCGGCAGGCCGTGTATACACAGCGGCTGGCCGGGAGGTAGTTAAAGCAAATCCTAATACTAAATCAAAATGTAATATATTGCAGCTTACCAGTCCTTAGATGTGGTGGCTGCATTGGTTTTCTTTATGCAAGGCTTTTTTCCTGGTGATGTCGAACAGTGTTCGGCTCACTTCACTTCTGATCGGTCATTCACTCGGCTGCCCTCGGCAGCTTTGTGAATAGACCCCTTTGTGTTTTTCCCCGTTATTCCCATACTTCCATTTAAATCCGCCTGAGTGATCCAGGTAACATTCAGTGGTTGCTTGAACAATGAGCAATTTCTGTCTTTCAAATAAGTTACAAATGACACCTTTGATCATTTAAGCCATCTGTAAGGGAAGCATTCTTCCCACTGACCACCAATGTAAGGAGCATTCTTCCCACTGACCACCAATGTAAGGAACATTCTTCTCACTGACCACCAATGTATGGAACATTCTTCCCACTGACCACCAATGTAAGGAACATTCTTCCCACTGACCACCAATGTAAGGAGCATTATACCCACTAACCTCCAATGTGGGAAGCATTCCTCCCACTGACTACTGATGTAAGGAGCATTCTTCTAAATGATCTCCAATATAAGGAACATGTATCCCACTGGCCACCAATGTAAGTAGTATTCTTCTCACTGATCACTAATGTAAGGACAATTTTTCCCATTGCTCTCCAATGTGAGGAGCATTCTTCTCAATGACCTCTTAAGTAAGCAGCCTTTATCCCTTTGACTACCAATGTAAGGAGCATTGTTCCCACTAACCACCAATGTAAAGGAGTCCTTTTCGCACTGGCCACCAATCTAAGCAGGCACGCCACTCACCATCGATCTAACATGACCTTTCACTGACTTCTAATTTTGGGGACTCTTTTCCACTGACCATTAATGTGAGGAAGGAATACAATTTTCATGGTCCATATTTCTTTTCTGGCCATTATTATAATGTATTTAATTTCAATATTATTACAGTTCTGTGTGTCAAATACACTAAGTTCCTCATTCTTTTATTGATTCCTATACCCACACCTTGATGTTCACACTAATGTCCCGCGAGCTGTCAATATATAATAATTACTAGCAGAGACTCCCTGGCAGAGAATGGCAGAACTGAGCAGAGGACGGACTTATATCACACAAGATGAAATACAGATATAGTAAATAAACTGGTGTGTTATGTAAATGCTACATTGTATATACTTTCATTGTTTGGATGACCACGTCCGGGATGTGAACTCGCTCCGTCCATTGTATAAGCAAGTCACACCAACATCAACATTGCCTGCCGACTGCCTTCAACCCATTGCTCAGCAACTGCTACTCTCTCTGAGTGGGTGTTCTGCTTCCCATGGTAGACAAGGCAACGGCGACTCCTCAAATCACACAACCTGCCTCTCTCGTGGTGTACTCCAGTGGTGGCTGCTCCTCCTGTTAGAAGTTTTATTAAATACAGAGGAGGATGTTACCTGCCAACAAGTGCTGCACCCAAGAGCCAAGACAAACACTGCCATTCAGACAATCTCATTTAACTAAGCTGAATCTGGCAAATTCTGTAAATGGGCATCACAGACTTTCATCACAACTGCAATGCAACTTTTTTCTGCTTTAAAGAAAAACAATTGACAAATTCTGAATTTGTGAATTGTGTGATTTTTAGCAAATTATACGGATCTCCATGTCCATTGCCCACGCTCAGGCAAAAGGAGGAGAAACTTGAACTATATTTTCAAATCTGCAGTTCTATTCGCTATTAATTCTATCTATAATATTTATTGTTATTATTTATGTACCATTATCATTTCCTGGAGATGTAGAGAACATTCTGATACACAGAACCAATATCATTGTATACTAAAAGAAATACAAGCCATAAATACACTCATTTGCATTGGTAGAGCAGGGGTAGGCAACCTCGGCACTCCAGCTGTGGTGAAACTGCAAATGCCACCATGCTTCTGCCTCTGGGGGTCATACCTGTGGCTGTCAGAGTCTTGCAATGCCTCATGGGACTTGTAGTTCCACAACAGCTGGAGTGCTGAGGATGCCTACCCCTGGAGTAGAGGCCGATTAGTAAAGTGAATGAGGTGATGCTGTGATCGCTGTGAATAGCCAATCATGTACTTGACTTTTTTTTCCCACTTACACATCATTGGATATGTGACATGAACACATCCTCAGGTTCTCTTACCTAGCATTCACTTTGCAAAGGAGCCTCTACTGCTTTAGTAAATTATTATCATTATTATACAGGATTTATAGAGCGCCAACAGTTTGCGCAGCGCTTTACAATATAAGGAAGACATTACAATCACAATACAATTCAAGACAAGATGGTAAGGAGGGCCCTGCCCCTGAGGGCTTACAATCTAAAAGGGAGGGGGAAGTGATACATGAGGAGGTAGCTGTGTGGGGATGAATTGTTTGAGAATGCGATTGTTGAGTGGTTAGGTTGAGGTGGGATCGGCTTCCCTGAAGAGATGAGTCTTAAGGGATCGCCTAAAGGCAGTCAGAGTGGGAGAAAGACGGACAGGTTGGGGTAAAGAGATCCAGAGAATGTGAGATCTCTAGAGAAGTCCTGGGAAATAGACCCCATTAGTGGAGACAGCCCTGTATAGACAAGTGAGCAATAGAAAACACAGTTGGGCTTGATTTACTAAGGGCTGCTCACTCAGCAAATTGAAGGATCGCGCTGCAAAGTAAACGTTGGCCAGATTTGTGTTCACTTTGTATAGCCAATCAGCTGCAAGGAAAAAGAAAACGGATATTTTTCTTTCCAATGATTGGAGGGTTGAAGTGATCACAGCTACACCTTTGGAGACTTTCATACGGCAATAGATTCTATTGCTTTATAAATCAAACCCCGATGTGTCCTTTCCTCCTTGGATTGTATCTTTGTGTATGAGAGTATACAGTATATCCCTTCTTTGTAACAATCTGATATCTGATCTGATGAAACGCCAGAGGCATGTCATGGAGGAATGATCAGCGTATGGAATGTAACAGAGAGAACAGGAAGTGGCGGTTATTGTGATGACATAAATAAGGCGCCAATTTGAATCATTCGATTTTGTTGCGAGATTGTCTGTCCGGAGAGACGGCTTCATGGAAGAGTCCTACAAGCCGAACAATGTCACCTCTATGTTCCAGACCTCTCCCTCCATTCGCTGGGAGATATTTGTTGTAACGGCTCTCAGATTGTTTATTCTATCCGCTATCTGACTTCCTAATACACCATCAATACCCACAATGCCTTGCAGCAGGCTCTCCTCTTCCCTGTTATGCTGATCCCGGGGTCAGGGACCAATATGAGAACATGGAGGAGGGACAATGATGACAATTTATTAGTAGCGGCAGTCACAATGAGAGATGATAATATGTTTGTATTGGACAATGGCGACAGTTTAATATTTATAATATGTTTTACTGCTTTTATCCCTTCCATGTACTTCCATATACATATTATTCATGATGGAATGATCTAATAGTTCTATGTCATATCATCTTTTATTCTATCTATCTATCTATCTATCTATCTATATATCTATCTATCTATCTATCTATCATCTATCTATCTATCTATCTATCTATCTATCTATCTATCTATCTCTCTATTTTTCCAACTATCTATCTATCTATCTATCTATCTATCTATCTATCTATCTATCTATCTATCTCCAATTTTCTGCATATCTCTCACCTTTTTTAAATGCCTATATTATCTATTATGGCCTATCTATGTATCTGTATATATTATGTTTCTATCTTCATCTATCTATTTCTCTAAGCTCCATCTCTCACCTTCTATCAATGTTTCTATCTATCTCTGAGTCTATCTACCTAACAATCTCTTTTACAAATTTAGCCAAAGGATCCAGCTGTACCTTCGGCTGATCCTTCTGCTCCCTTTGGCCGCCTCTGCCCTTCGTTTCAGTTGACCCAAAGGGCTGCTGTACGGGCTATTCACTATAGCCCATAGAGCAGCCGAAGGTGGCCGAGCGGCTCAGCCGAGCCGAAGGCATATGCTTTGGCTCGACTGAGCCAAAGTAACACCAGAAGCGTGGCGAACGGCCGGCCAAAGGATGGCCTTTCTCCCCGCAAATGACAGCTGGGTGGAGCCAGCCGGCTCCGCCCAGTTTGTAATGACAGATCAGTGTCCCCAAATGACCTGGGGACGCTAATCTGTCATTTTTCTTTTTAAAAAATCTTTCTTTTTAAATTTATTTACATTTTATAATTATTTTTTCAACCTTTTAAAAAAAAAAAATTCTCATTCCTTTTCTATTCTGCTCGGTATCACCGAGGTACCAAGCAGAATAGCCGAGCCGAATGCCGGCGGCATTCAGCTATTCACTCACTGCTAAGTGAATAGCTCAATAGGGGCGAACGGCAGCGAGTGAGCTGCCGGAGCTTTGGCTCAGCCGATCCAGATGTTGGATCGACTGAGTCGAAGTCCTTCTGCACTTCGGCTCAACCAAACATGCAGAGCATGTGCGGCTGACTAAAGTGCAGCCGAAAGCAGCCAATGTACGGCTGATTTAGCCAATGGCTGAAATCAGCCGTACATTGTTCGGCTCACTTCACTACGGCTCGGTTATTCATTTGGCTGCCTTCGTCAGCTTTGTGAATAACCCTGTTAGTCTATCTATCTATCTATCTATCTATCTATCTATCTATCTATCTATCTATCTATCTATCTCTCTCTCTCTCTCTCTCTCTCTCTCTCTCTATCAGCCTTTCTTTTTCAGATCCTCTTTCTCATCTCTTTATCTTTCATTGATCTCTCTCTGTTCTACCTATTCTGTGCAATTGTGATGTTCTGGCACATAGTAGTACATATGGCGCCTGTGTGGTGTAGTGCAGCATGTCATTGAGCCTGTGTCCCCCTGTGTCTCCGCAGTCCCCATGCCCCCGAAGTCTGTCACCTCGCTGATGATGAACAAGGATGGCTTCCTGGGAGGGGTGACGGTGAACGCCGGTGAAGTGTTCTGCTCGGTGCCGGGCCGCCTGTCCTTGCTCAGCTCCACGTCCAAATACAAAGTGACAGTGGGGGAGGTGCAGCGCCGCCTGTCCCCTCCGGAGTGTCTGAACGCCTCTCTGCTGGGAGGGGTGCTGAGGAGGTGAGTCTGGGCATGAAGGGAGTCAGGGGAGGAGGGGGTTAATGTCGCTCACCTTCACACTGGATACATTGTATACTCTGACCTACATGGGGACTCAATAAGAGGAGATGGGTCATGTGACCCGCCAGTGGAGTCTTAGGTTGGCCATACACTGAAGCTCACCATACATGATACATCTCACTGTACAATCAACTTTAGATTAGCCAAAATATACGGGCCTACCTAACCGATCCAATCAGTCTGTATCCAGCCAGGCAGGCCCTTGCACTACATGTTAATGTGGGTAAGGTTGTTACCTGGGACTTGTTGCTAATGTTCCTAATAGGAAAGAGTTAATAAAGTTGACTTACTAAAGGAGTAGTGACCGTTTACTTAGCGCAATGAACATTCGCCGAGCTCAGTAAATAAGGTGAGACTCTGTTAATGAACCCCACAAAAAAGATTGGCCATTCAACAGGAGCACGGCTTCGCCCTACTTACTAAGCTCAGCGAACGTTAAATTAGGTGAATAGCTGCTACTCCTTTAGTAAATCAGCCCAAATAAGTCCGGTGTTTTTCTTTCAGAAAAGGTGGGAACTTTCAAATGGGGTGTATGGAACAATCGATTGGTTCTGAAATGACCAGGTAGGTGGATTTACCATTCGTGTTCCAGACGTCCAATCAGTCAATTGCAACATTTGGACCAAATGGTCCACCGTAGGCTAAAACCGATGGGTATGCATTAGCTACGTGTCCAATCTACGTACTGATGTATTGTCACACAGGCAGGACAAGCGATAGGGCATAGATGACAGGAAGGGCGGCTGGGGGGGGATTCATCCTGATGGAGATGAAATACCAAAATTTGGGTGGGGGTCGAACTTCAAATAAATAGGGCGGCCCAAAACCATCAGTTATGTACAAGACATGCAACCAACTGTTTTTGAAATTTTGGTTGTGCTCTCAAGGCGAAGAACACAAAGGGAACCCTCATAGATGCCAACTGTCCCAAATTTGTTGGGGCAGTCCCACATCTTGGCCATCTGATCCACCACTGCTGTGTCCTGGAATAACAGCACCAACGTTATTTGAGTTACTGCACATGCCCAATAACTCAAAAAGGCATTCATTGTGGAGATCGGGGCCATGGGTGGGGCGGTCCCTTCATATTTTTGGGCGGGGTTTGGGTGAAACCAACCAGTAATGTGGGTAATACCTGGAAACACCCACCTGGGTCTGGGAGGAATCAAACTGTAAAGTGCAAGTAATTTGGTGCCCACCTTAAAAAGTGGGCGGGATTCATGTAGACTGCAGGCAGGTTCTGTCCCAGAACCCGGGATCTTAAGTTTGGTAGGTATGCACCAGGAGTGCTTGTCCATGTATGCTAAACAAAGTGTTTTATTTATTTATTCTGGTAGAAGGTTAGGGATAGAACTCCTATGAGGTATGTATTGCTTTTTGTGACCCCACCTGGTCTGAAAGGGAGAGGGGGGGATCCAAAATTCTAAGCTATCAGTAGAACAGCTGTAGTGAAGAAATCTTCCATTTGGAACACTAGTTCTAAATTACAGGAATCTTCCATTCTGGGCACTAGTCCTAAATTACAGGAATCTTCCATTTGGGGCACTAGTCCTAAATTACAGGAATCTTCCATTTGGGGCACTAGTCCTAAATTACAGGAATCTTCCATTTGGGGCACTAGTCCTAAATTACAGGAATCTTCCATTTGGGGCACTAGTTTTAAATGATAGCAATCTTCTATTTGGGCATAGTTCTAAATTGCAGGAGTCTTCCATTTGGGCCACTAGTTTAAAATACAGGAATCTTCCATTTGGGGTGCTAGTTGTAAATTATAGGAATCTTCCATTTGGGACACTTGTGCTAATAACATCTGTCTAAGGGGGAAATTACCTTATTTTGCAGAAATCTTCTCTTACTTATCTCCTTTTGTGTCTACGGGATAGGAAGTGAAGGCCATTCTCCTTAATGGGACACAGACTGCAACTCCCCCCAGAACAAAAAAAATGTGTTCTAAAGTTTAACTTCAGTCACAGTAACCATTATAAACACAGCTACACACAGGGCCGGTGCAGCCACTAGGCAGCCGCCTGGGGCGCACTGCTGCCTAGGGTGCACTGCTACCTAGGGCGCAGCCTTGACCATTCACCCCCCACTGCACCCCCCCATCTATTTTAAATTTCAAAAGCCAATAGCAGGCTGGCTATTGCACCCACCCACTGAGCAGAGAAGAGTAACTGAGAGACAACTTTCTCTCTCAGGTGCGCACCTCTGCTCAGTGGGTGGGGTTTCAATAGCCAGTCTGCTATTGAGTATTTCAAACTAAATTACATCCACCTGTCGCCTGCAGAAACGAACCCACAGGAGAATGGGGCTGCACGGGGGGAGGGGATTGGGGGTTGCGCCACGGGAGATGGGGTGCAAGTAGCTGGTCTTGCCTATGGCGCAAAATAGTTTAGCACCGGCCCTGGCTACACATTTGCCTTAAAAGCAACTCCCCATGTAGGCTTTATTCTGCATCTGGCAAATGTTCTACTGCTGAGCCACTTCGATGTAATCGCGCAAGAGGACTTCATAGACCTCAGTGCTGTGGTCGCATCTTCATTCCCCTCTGCTCCAGGCCATTTACAATATGAAGCCTGGGGCTGTGCATTTTATGAATGGTCTAAAAGGAGGCCGAGATACGACCTCAGTGCTGGGGGTCTATGAAACCTACATTAGAAGGCAATAAATAATAGGAAAACCCCCATATCCTAAATAGTTATTCCGACATAACCATCCCTTTAAAGTTACAGCGCCCCCCTCTGGTCAGTGTCTGGTGCCAGCTGCCTTCACCTCTTCAAATATATTTCACACACTCTAAATCTGAATGACTAGACATGATGGGAGTTGATGCACAGCTCACCTATGTTCATATCTATGGCATATGTTTGTATTGGACTTTAACTTTTATTAGTAAAATCTTTTCTTCTTTACGCTCCATGTTGTCAGCCGCACATAATCCTGAACAATCTTTTTGTTCCATTGCAGAGCGAAGTCGAAAAACGGTGGAAGATCTTTAAGGGAGAGATTGGAAAAGATCGGGTTGAATTTACCAGCTGGAAGACGCAAAGCTGCCAACGTCACTTTATTGACCTCCCTGGTGGAAGGTAAGGGCACAGTCAATGTCATCCTCCCGGATGGGATTCAGAGTAAATCTAAAGACTTTTTGTTTTTAGTTTGTATAGCGGAGGAATGGTTACACCCTCTGTGAAGTTTTGTTTGGACTGTGCTCTATTGAGGAGATTTCCCTCCACTTCATGTGAAGCTAGCAATGACACATGACTGTGTTGTACATAGGCTGTGAAGAGAGTAGAGCTGTGTGAGGGACCTTAGGGGGTGGTGGCTTAGGGAGGTTGTTGGCTGTGCATGTTACCAGGGGGTGGTGTTTGTGCTCGGTACCCCTGTCTGGTGTTCCGCTCCGCTCACTAATGTCACTGGTTGCCAGGACCTGGGCAAGATGCCGGCCATAGCATCACAAATTGCTAAGGGCTCTTAGCAACCTGAGACACTCTGGCTGGAAAGCCACGTGACCCAATGAGACCACCTCAGACCTCATTATAGGGACTGTCTTGTCCATAACCCTCACCATAGGCATCTAAAACCCATTGTCAAAATGGTGAAATTTTACCCAAATTGCTCAAATATTGCCAAATTTTTGCCAATTAAAATCTCTCCATTTCCCTCATCCTTGGCAACTACTCAGATTAAAATGTAAATGTAATGGATGATGAAGGAGGAAGAAAGTGAGGAAGTTACGTAGCACAGATCCCAGGAAGTACACTTCCACCACTGACCCTGTTAGATGGTCTGTGAAAATTGCTCCACAGTTTATTACAAAGAAAGCAAATTAAATTTGAACTCCAGCCAAACAGCTAAATGCATGGATAAAATACATACATGGAAGCTGTTTTTGGAAGGGACGGTCCCCCCTGTCTATTGCCTGGCAGGGGAGAGGAAATTACCTTTTTCTGGTATAGTTTCAGCTTCATATACAAGTCACCTCTCCACCCCACTATGGTTAAAGAAGAAGTAACAGATAGAGGCTTATCTACAAAATTGTTGCCCCCGGCGTCCCTCTAAGCTTCTGGATACCAGTGACAACACTGGTTGCCAGGAGCTGGGAGGGACGCCAGCCAGAGTGTCCCAGGTTTCTACGAGGCGGGCGTGGAGATGTGTAAGGGCCAGCCATACACATCTCCCCGACTAGCTTTTAGCTATCTGGGATGCTCTAGTCGATGTCCTACCAAGCTCCTGCCAACTTGTGACATCACTGGTTGCCAGAAGCTGGGCAGGATGCCAGCCAAAGTGTCCCTGGTTGCTAAGAGCCAGGCATGGAGGTCTGTAAGGGCCATACACATCTCCTCATCTGGCTCTTAACAACCAGGGATGCTCTAGCCAGCATCCTGCCCAGCTCATGGGAACCAGTGAGGTAACTGGTTGCCAGGAGCTGGAAGGGATGCTGATGAGAGCATCCCTGGTTGCTAAGAGCTGGGCAGGGAGATGTATATGGGATAGGGGTGGGAAGAGAAAAAATGTCAGCTGTCTTCAAGTAGCGCCCAGGGCATGTGCCATATGTGCCATACTCTGGATAAGCCACTGGCAGCAAACTAAAGAACTCATCTTTTTGTCACTATGCTTTCTTCTACTATCGGCATGTTCCTTGCCCTGCAACACAACTAATTGACCCCTTATGCTGCTCCCCCATCCCCTGAGCTCTGCTGTACAAACTGTACAGGGAGGGAAAGAGGCTGATTCCAGGTCAAATGTGGGGCTTACACTGCTTGCATTAAAATATTTGTATGTTGTAGTAATGAAAAGCGAGCTGCATTCATTTGTCACTTTTATATTTGCCTGGAATTCAGTTTTAAGGTAAACCAAGTATTTAGCATGTGATATATGCGATGCTAGGCCCACTTTTATCTGATATGCTGCACTTGCGGGCCACACACAATGTACGTACAGCGCGATGATTGCTTCCCTTCCCCTAGATTGATATCAGCCGCACATGTAACCAGACACTCCCTACAGGAATAATTACGGCCGGGCTAAATAGGAAATATAGATGTCATTAGAATACAGGGACGATTTATACTAATCACGATCCACTTACAGTATGTTCAGTGATAATCCGGCAGCCTGACATGTGGTAATGCGAGGTAAATGCCTGTAATTACCAGTCATCTGTCTGTCTCTTGTGACTGGCAAGGACTATTATAATTATTGGTTCATACATTCATATTTAGCAAAAGACGTACAACGCATAATATAAACATTAACTGGCCCAGGCTGGTGTGAGGGAGCTGCTAATCTGTTGGTGGGTGGCGTGTGTGAATCAAGTCACGCTGACAGAGTTTACACCGGGTAAGCATTGCACAACTAAAGTATTCAAAAGAAAAACAATATTATATATATATATAAAACAAGGAGGGAAACATACCTGTTTAAGTCCCCATGTAACAAAGCCATCCCAATTCTGCTTCTTTTAAATAGTAATAAAAGTCCAAGGTTGCAGCACTCCAATATCAATCAATTTGAAACCATTATAATCAGGGCTTGAAAAATTTGGCGGTGTCTCACCAGTCAGTCACAAATTTCACCAGTCAGCATGACCGGACTATAGCCTTGCAATATATGTTAAAAAATTTTGGGGACAGATAGAGCTTTCTTTTGTGACCCCATATATATAGTAATAAAATGTCCGGGGTTGCAGCACTCCAAAATTAATTTATTCGAAAACATTATAATATTGTTTCCATAGATATGCAACAGTTCTTAGCCCTTCCTCAGTCAAGGAATTACATAATATTTATACATGATGTTAACGATGACCATTCAGCCATTGACTCACAAATTCATACTGTTTTTGTTACAATGTAATATATAATAGATATAATATATATCTCTGACAATTTTTGTACTAGTCTATACATTTTATCATCATCCAGCGTATTTAGTGTCTATTGTTTCCTTCATCGTTAGCCCTGACAAAGTAGGAGGCCTTTCCCCGGAATCGTGTCGGCTGTTTTGTATTCAATAAACTTTTCATAGCAATTCCAAGCTATCAGATCATTTGTACCAGGTGCTCCTAATTGTATACCTAAAAGCAGATGATCTGGTCAGCGGTCTGCTCGCTTCGATTAGAGACGCGGCAGTCTAAGACCAAAAGTATGTCAGTTTGTGCTGTTCCTTTATTGTAGGGCTATCTATCTATCTATCTATCTATCTATCTATCTATCTATCTATCTATCTATCTATCTATCTATCTATCTATCTATATACACTTGGTATGTATATATGTATATAGTACTTGATGTGGCCTGCTGTCATCATTGTGTGACTTCCTGGTTCCCTGCTGAGTCCATATTGTTGTCCATATTATGGATGTTCATGGTTTCGGAATGGAATGTCCAACAAGGTCATATGGGTATAATGGTCAGGTGTCCATATGCCTCAGGCGGCATCTCTTTGAGTCACATGGGGCTCTTGTTATTAGGATACTAATTAGGGCCAGCCAGTCCACTGGAGGTTTGAGGGAGCTGGGTGGAAAGATGTGTAAGGGCAACCTAGGACGCTTTGGCCGGTGTTCTGCTCAGCCCCTGGCACCCAGAGATGTCACTGGTTGCCAGGAGCTGAACGGGACACTTCGGCTGGCCTCATAACCCTCCATCCCAGATAGCGTGCATCACCAGGACCCCTCCCCCGCCACCTCGGGTGGCTAAAAGGCTAGAGATGCCCCTGCATATAGTGTATGCCTCTTGCAGGTCATTGATTTAGAAAGTACTGAGGCCATAGACAGCCAACGAATAACATTTGAAAGTAGTGGTCCACAACGGCCTTGTGTGGCTGTGACATCTGCTCTTGTTATTAGGATACTAATTAGGGCTAGCCAGTCCACTGGGGGTTTGAGGGGAGTGGCACAAGACGCATGACCTAGGGGGACAGAAAGTATAAATTTGGCCCTGTCGACTGGTGAGAACTGGGACTTTTGGCCATTGGACATCGCAATCCTCTACACTGGCCTTCAGTTTTCTCTCCTCAACAATGAAACACTCATCCAGATCATTAGCAAACACAGGGAACCTCTCCAGGAACATGAAACACGTCCAATTCCCCTAGGTTATCCATAAAGAAATTATTCTGTGAGTATCCCCTCCGAGCCTAACTTCTTCTCACCACCCCTAGCTACCTCCCAGCTTTCTTGTGTGCCGGAGTCACATTCCTGCAAGTTTGAAGAAGAGTTTGACGCTCCAGGCCAGAAACCCGATAGCACAGCTAACAGAGAATATGCCAGTTAGAATTATATTAAGCCTAATTATTGTTTTTTTTCCCCCCTCCCCTTTCGCCTTTTAAAGAGACCGTGTGTTTGTTTCTTCCTGTCAGTCAGTTTTCACCTTGTGACTTCCAGTAACAACAGGATTAAATTATACCTGTATATTGTACTGCCGTCTCTACAGCTACCATGGAATATAATCGTTTTCACAACAGCACCGATCCATCGGATGTTACTGTTTATTTTTAGTTACTGTCATTGTTAATTATGGATGGAGGAAAGTCCCTAACGTGCATCTGAAACCTTTTTTTTAGCTTTGGGTAGAGTTGAGAAGGATTATAAGTAAGGGGATTTTGCCGTGTTAAGATCTTCTTCCTACTTCCTATCCAGTAGTGTCACCAGTGGTAGATTTCCCTTATATTACTGTTCTGTTGACCTCCCAAAATTTGGGGGATTTTTCCTCACTTTTAAACCACCAGGACACATAAAGTAGATACTGCTCTATGACAACTATGTAAAATGCGTAAATTGTACATTTACTGACAAAGTTTGCTTGTGAACGTTCCCCAACCTCAGGTAGGCAAGTCCATAGATGGACCTCCAATTGAGACTTGGACCTTTTTTTTTGCCCAAGTACACATTTGACACACATTCACTAAGGAATGGACGAATACATTGAATGCCATTTGTATTTGCCCCATTTAATTCTGTATCTTCCACTGGCAAGCTTTATAAATACCATCAATGTTGGCTGCAAAAGAGTGGCAACACCAACCATGTTTAGTGACTATGAAATAATGAAGCCTGCATTTAAGGCAGGATGCTTTGTATACCGACATCTCATAGGCTTCCATACTAGAGGTTTCATATCCTAAGAGGACATGTCTAGAGGTCCCTTGACCGACAGAAAGTCTTGTTATCCCTGTCAGCAACCTCTAGGCCTTACTTCTTCCATTGTGTTTACCTATAAGGAAAATTAACCTTGGAATTGACCTTTACCTTGTTGCTCTTGGCTGCCATTGTGGATCCCTAGGGTTTGGTGAACTGTATTTCTATGCATCCAATTGTGACAGCCCTGTTAATGCATGTACCTTCTGTGCAGGTGAAGCTGTCCATCTCGCCCGGGATTTTGGTTACATCTGTGAAACGGAATTTCCAGCCAAGGCTGTGTCAGAATACTTGAACAGACAGCACACAGACCCGACCGATCTGCACTCCAGAAAGAACATGCTGCTGGCCACAAAGTAAGTAGCTGACTCTGCAAAGTGGGTTCAGTGATCTTTCATGCCTGTTGGTGAGTGGGATTATTGCAATGCCAAAAAAGAGAAAGTAGGAGGTAAATAAGAATGATATAACGAGATAGTTTCCATGCAATAGAGTCCAGTTGGCCTACATGAGCTGAACCTTTTGTTGTGTGGTATGCTAAACACCTACTGTCATTCTCCTCCCCCAGTCTGCTGTACAAAGAAGCAATGCACTTTTGCATTGCAAATAAAAGTAATATCTGTGGGTGAGCTTGAAAGGTGGATGCTTTGCAAAGTAAGGACCATGTGACATAAGTGATGCTGTCGCCGGTGGCAATTCGTCAACAACAGGATCATTATATAAAACCCAACCTGCTCCTAAGGTGTGTCTCCCTTGCTGCAGAACTCTACATAAAAAGAAAGAAAAAAAAGTTTAAAAAAGATAAGCAACAATCTGAGGTTAGGTGGAAGTACCACAGCTTAATAAGGTAGTGGACTATCGTTGCAATGCGCTCAGAGAAGTCATGTGTCCAGCTTTTGGTATTCCCAGGTGTTCTTAGCACTTCCTAACATCAGAGAAATCTCATATCAGTGTCATGCAGGATCCATGTGCACGTACAGTATGTTTATTTGTGGAAAGAAGCAGGGTTGGAAACTGAAGAGTGTCTCTGTGGGAGCAGATTAACCAGCAATAAAATATGTGGGAGCATGGTAGTCTACAAAGCTTCCTCTTGAAGCATAGCAGTCTATAAGTAAATCTGTGGCAGCATGACAACCTACAAGGCAGTATATGGCAACATGGCAGTCTCTAGGGACATGGAAGTCTCTTTGAGCATGGCAAGATACAAGGCAGTCTCTGAGAGGATGGTGGGCTGCAAGGCTGTCTCTGGATCATGATAATCTACTAGGCAGCACCTAGGCAAATTTGCATTCTGCAAGTCAGTCTCTGGGTGCATGGCTGAATACAAGGCAATGTCTGGGAGCATCGCAGACAACAAAGCAGTCTCTGAATGCATGAAAATCTAATAGACTGTCTCCGGGAGCCTGGCAATCTACAAGGCAATCTCTGGGAGTATTAATAGACTGCACAGTTATATTGGGAGTATTGCAGTGTACAAGGCAGACTGTTGAAGCATGGCAACCTAAAAGGTAGTCTGTGGGAACATGGCAGTCTACAAGGCAAACACGAGAATCTACAAAGCAAGGCAAGTCTAACAATGCAATTTCTGGAAATAAGGCAGCGTGCAAGGCAGTCTTTTGGATATGGTGGGCTACAAGCAAGTCTTTGAGAACATGGCAGCCCACAAGGCAGCCTCTGGAAGCTTTGCTGTCTACAAGAAAGTCACTGGAAGATTTGATGTCTTTAGAAGCATGGCAATCTTCAACGCAGTCTATGGGAACATGGCAATGTACAAGCCACAGAAGCATAACAAAGCCGTCTCTGGTACCACCTCTGTCTTTCTAATTTATAAGGTGGTCTTTAGGAATATAGTGGTCTATCTGTTGGAGCATGACAATCTAACAAAGTAGTCTCTGGGAACATGGCATAATAATTAATATATATTAGCTGGTTTATACTTGTGTGTGAAGTGCAATCCCCCTGGTCTGCATAGACATTTTTTTCTGGGTAGAGACATGGCACAGTTTGGGAACAAAGTTAACCATATTTATTGCTCAGAGCGATTTTCCTAATACACACTGGAAGATTAGGCATGTTACTGTCATCATTGGCAGCATTTCACATAATGTTACATAGCTAGCCCCCAATCCCTGATTTTAACATGTACCTGTGATTATTTCATGATGTGCAGCATCGTGGAGAGTTCAATTGATACCTATTACTTCTGATTGGTTGAAGTTGGGTACTGCACTTTCCTCATTCACTGCATTCTGCACTGCCTTGTTAAAGTGAACCTTTAAGGGAAATAAATATGGGAGCTGACATTGCTGACTGTTTTTAAAGGTGTAGGGTGTTGAGTGTGGCTTTATTGCCTAATGATTCACCGGTGTGGGTCAAGCACCCAGCAAGTTTGCTAAAACTCCCGTTCTGTATGCATGTCCCAGACAAGTAACTCATTCGGTAGTAAAGCTAATATCAGGAGGGCAATGCTCTGGGTCTACAATTTGAAAGATAAGTCAACAATTGCTACTCCCATATGTCTATAAAAACTTTAATTAACTGTTCCCTGTAATATAAATACTGTTACCATTGGTATAACAACAGCCATAGCAGTCCATGCAGCTGCTATGGGGCCCGGGGATGGAAGGGGGCCCCCTCTCAAGGATTGCAAAATGTGCTGTTGATACTGACCCTGTACCCCCTATGACATTTCCAATCAAGAAGAGCTGACGTCAGATGTACAGGAGAAGACAATGCATACAGCTCTCCTGCTACCCGACTTTTATATCATTGACAGTAGGGCGGTCGCTGAAGGGCCCCATTAAAATTATGCTATGGGGCCCCATGATCTACAGTACGCCCCTGACTGTTACTTTAGCTTACCACTCTTCTGGTGCTGCAAGCTTCAACTCTAGCCACTTCTAAGAGTGTTCAATGCCTGTCTTGCTGTGGTTGAGTCCTGCAGTAGTAACATCGGGGTTGGAGGATTGAGCTACAGGGCGCAATGGGCCTACGACACTCCGGAAAGTGTTGAATGCTTGAAGACTTTGCTGGAGGCTACAGCTCTGGAGGAAAGGCTGCAGTATAGAATATCTTCTATTACAGAGAGCAGCTACTTCAATTCTTTCTACACCAACAGGCTCCCTTTCAGTAGATAAGACGCACATTGAAAACCACAAAGAAGCATTGAATAATGCCGGCAACGTCTACGGACGGTCTCTGCTCTGAACCAAGGGACACAAGAAGCAGAAAAAAAAACATTGGCTTCATTTCTAACACATGTTTTGCTTAATGTGATTTGAATTTCATTGTCTCATTTGGCGGGGTCGGCAGATAGGAGCGGCTCAGACCTTTAATGAGTTGCAGATCCCTGGCTGCTGACTTTGAAGACGGATAATGCTCGACTTTTTGCCATTTACTTTTCCAAATTCAAAGTTTCCTTATAGCTTTCTCCGGGGGTGATTGACAGGTCAGGAAGGGCCACAATTATCCAATAACACCTTTAACCTCGCTGAAAAATTAGATATATTGTCGATTAGAATGGAATTGGAAGTGGTGAATGAAAATGCGTTTTATGTTTTTATAGGTGGATGCGATGAGCTTAATTCTGATAATATTATCAATCTTTGTTAATTGGCAATTATTTTTTTCTGTGTTTAGTTAGTAAAAAAATTATATACATGGGAGCATACAAAACTTTTTAAATTAAGTTTTGGATACATTTGGGAATTCTTCTGTCACTGGGGAGATTTATCAATCATCATTGTCCTGGGACAGAAAGGGATGGGAATGCCAACATTTTTACCAGAACAGGAATGTGGGTAATGTGTGCCAGTAACCACTGTCTTAAAGGGGGCTACCCTTCACATTTGTATATATATCTCCCAAGGCCATCCTTATAATGTGACATCCTGATGCAGTTGCCTCAGGAGGCATCTCATTGGGGGGCGGCTGTGTTGTTGGGGTTGGCTGGGGGGCAGCCACAGCATTACAGTTTGCTAAGAGCTCTTAGCAACCTGTGCTGCTCTGTGCGGCTTCCCGCCCAACTCGCTGACATCACCGAATGCCAGGAGGTGAGTGGGATGCTCTTGCTTGCGTCCCCTCGAGTTCCTGGCAGCCAGTGACATCAGTGAGCTGGACAGGATGCCGGACCAAGCCACAGGCAGTGTGGCGTCCGCCACGCTCCCCTCTGAATGACAAATCAGCAAAACAACCGTACACCCCCCCACCCCCATGCCCAGTGACCATTCCCTGCCAGGACCGATCCCACATGAGACGACATTGCCTCAGGTGGGGAATACCTTAGAGGCAGCCCTGATAGCTCCTGTCACTTCCCTTTGTGTTTCCAGGACAGGAAGTGAAGAGAAACCTCCTTATCCAAAAGGAAAAATATCTCACCTACTTTTATGCTAAAAGCTATATTAAACGTTTGGATGGAGAAAGAGGAAGGATCTCCTCTCCAGCCCCCTCCAGTACTGCTCACCTTGGATTTGGTCATATGATCTCTACAGTGGGAATGGCTCAGAGTTCCTGCTTGCCGATCCTGCCTGGCAGCAGAGATCACATGACCGAATTCCTAGTACAAATGGAAGCACAGAGCATCCTTTTCTTCAGAAAAGCATTACAATTTTTCTATTGTTTGTTATTTATTTACACCAGCAAGGCCGTTAACATAATTTTAAAGTTTTAGAACTATTTGATAAAAATAATAGTCATTTATTTGAACAAAAGGAAAAACAGATTTGTCTTGACTTGTTTGGTCAGTGGTCACAGATATCTCACCGCGTTGTGTCTGCTTTTTCCCCCTCCAGGCAACTTTGTAAAGAGTTCACAGACCTTCTGGCCCAGGACAGAACGCCCATAGGTAATAGCCGACCTAGCCCAATCCTAGAACCGGGAATCCAGAGCTGCTTAACTCACTTTAGCCTCATCACCCACGGCTTCGGCTCCCCGGCCATCTGTGCGGCCCTCACGGCTCTCCAAAACTACCTAACCGAGGCCCTGAAGGGAATGGACAAAATGTTCCTGAATAACAACACCAACAGGCACACATCCGGAGAGGGACCAGGTAGTAAAAACAGTGACAAGGAAGAGAAGCACCGGAAATGAAAGCTGGACCTACTATAACATCCTTTCATTTTAGCTTTAACGGAAAACAAAAAAGGAAAAAAAAAACAAAAAAGAAAAAGAAAAATATTGAACTGGCTTTGGAGAATTACAAATATATATCAGACTGCGCCCCTGACGCAAACCCACGGACATCCAGCACGCGATCGGGTGCAAAAATCTCTGTCAACGACTTCCTTTGTATTCCTCTTCATTTTTAAGAATGCTTTATTAGTAACCCACTTACGGAACAATAACGGAACAGTCAATGGGAAAATTATGGGAGGAAAAGAAGCTTTTTGTTAACTCCTTGACGTGCACAGCTTTGATTAGAAAATATAAGGACGCTATAGAGAAGACCTGGAGGGGCCTACGATGGTCCAGCGTGCTGCCCGGGCTATCGTCCTAGCTGCCGGAGGCAATGGAATGCTGCAATGTGGTGGTCACTGATCACTCCTCCGAGCATCTGGTCCTTGTGATATATGTGTACTTTCAGAATTGGTTTAATTGCCAACCCTTTGTTCTCTTTCCTGTTTCGAGTAACATTTCATACATTTGCTCCCTCAGATAATCCACGTTTTCACTGTAAACGGTGAGCTAGGATAATTCTCAAGATATATATTTTTTCCTTTTTTTTTTTTCTTCCTTTTTTCAAGTTTGTGCTTTTTGGATGCCATACAACCTCAAAATAAATATGGCATAATAAAAAAAGATCAATAAAAAAAATCAAGTTTAGTTAATCTTTGGTCGGTTGTCAATGGTCAGTGTACTTAGCCATTGCCCTTCCTCATAGGGTAAAATAATTCCCATCATTTCAAGGCAATTGGGTAAATTTACAAAAATTTTAACACAAGGATAAGGAACCCTTATTAGCTTTGTGCATTATCCCTCCGGTATATAGACTTCATACGCAGGTCCTATCTCTCTTCTTTTTTTTTTTTTTTAAAGCAATTGTGTTTCTGTAATATAATCCCTTTGGATGCCCCTTTCTGCCCTAATGAATTCACAGATTTCACCAGAGTACATTTGCACATGTTGACGATACAATCATGATACTAAACTTTTTAAGTGTTTTGCCAATGCATCGACTTTCGTGGCCCTTAATTAAATGTTCACTGAAAACTAAGCGCTCCATTTTAAAAATCTAGAAAATATTTATTTCTTGTATTTATAGCGCACGTATAATAATACAGCATTTTACAGAGCACATAGAATTGTTCATAACGGCCCCTGCCTAATGTTCTTTAGCATAGCAGTGTCCATTTGATTATAGATTTGGTATCTGACATACATTTTTTGGGTGGGGTACTTGGAATAAACCCAGAGAAACATGGGGAGGGTATACAAAGTTCATACAATTTTTTTTTTTGCTCCTGGATATAAAGGAATT